GGGACTTTGAACTTAAGACAGGAGCCAGTCTGGGTTGGCTTGGGATCAATATCTGCCTCAGCCAAATTTGCTCCAGTTCAGAAAGGAACTACTTCTTTCCTTTTGACAAATTTAGGTTTGCATGGGTATCTTTTCCACTGTACACGGCATGTATTTTCTCTCACTTGCTTGGATAATTGTAGGCAGTTTCTGGTATAGTGTTTTGAAATGTTGCAAAAAATATAATGCAAGTCCTGGCACTATTCTGAGAGATCGTTTAATAAGTTAGTATTACTCATCCATTAATGATTGTTAATGTCTGAAAGGGCTTTTCTGGGCTCTTAGGTTCCTTCCTTACAGGTCACATTCCACCTTCAGGACACTCTCGTCTTTTTCAGAGTTCGGACAGAGGAAAGCCTTTGAGGTTACAGCCCGCTAGTAACCTGTGCTTTTTTACTTTCTCTTAAAGATAACATTTCTCAGGCAGCTAAATTAAGACTCCGTGGAGCCACGTGACCCACCTAAACGTGATCGGGCAGCCAACCAATCGCAAAGAACTGAAAAGCCCGTCCCAGTTTCACACGCTCCGGACAGCCGAACCAAAGGGCAGGGGGCATTCGCAATTTTTACAAACCCCAAGTATCGCCGGAGAGGCTGCTTGACCACACATTTGAAAGTTCACTCTCACTTCAAGAGACACGTGACTGCGGGCGGGCGGGCGGGCCTCCTAAGCCACCAGGCGATAGGAGGTAAGGACTCTGGAATGGGTATTAAGGGCTGAGACAGCTTTCAGTCCCCTTTCCCTAGAACTGGCTGGCAAGCAAGCCCCTTTGTGTCATGTCTTAAGATCACTTCAGGGACCCGCCAAGACGCTGACCAAACCTTCTTAAGATAGGCTTGCTGTCGCCCGCTCAGGGAAGTTGTATGGCCCAAGTGGGAGAGTGGCTGAACACTGGACAGGGCTTCCAGGCCCAATGCAGCTGACCCCCGGGACTCAAGGGTAGTCACCCCTGCCTTTCACAACAAGCCACAACCATGCACCAGCTCTCACGCTACTCTTTTGATCTATTGTTTAGAATGAAGGCTAATTACAGTCATTAGACTAGTACTCGGTTCCTCTGGAGGAAGCCCAGTGAGAAAAAGGATCCGCAAACTAACCTGATTAAGTCTGTGTCCAACCCCTCTCCCCCGTTCAGCTGCATCAGGAGCATGTACATATACCAAGAGGTTTCCACACGCCGCCCCGGAGTGGAAAGAGGTGTGGAGAAGCACCTCAAGGAGAGCCCCTTTGAAAGCCACACTCTAACCCGCACGCCACCGAGACGGCTTGGGGCCTGGGGAGTCGCAGTTGGGGTGCGCAGGCTGCGCACTTCTGGCGGTTCCGCGGAGCCTCCCGGGCTGCCGCCCACCGAACGTGCGTCAGCTCACGGCTGCTGGGGGACTCCCTGCCCCGGCCAGCACCTGACGCCCCGCATCCTTGGAGATGCCCACCTCCATCCGCCGTAGGCTCTCACCCTACTTAAGTCCAAGGGGCGCGCCCTGGGCTGTCGCGCACCTCTCGGCCAGGCCCGGCTCTCTGCCTTCTTCCTAACACTCCGCCTGGCAGAGGAGGCAGAACCATTGTTCAGTGGCTCAGAAGCTCATAGTCCCCAGCCCCTGTCAAGGGTGTGAAAAACGAGGCAAAGCAGTAGCTCTGGGGGAGGGGGCATAAGGGAATGAAGACTAGTTCAAGCGAGGGTTTAGGACACCCAAAACCCCACTGTCCCCCAAGCTCGGTTCCCTGTAGCCCTGTAGCCCTGTAGCCCTGTAGCCGAGGCGCTGACAGCTCAGAAGCGCCACCAGGGTGGGGAGGGAAAGGAGGAGAGCGGAGCGGCGCCTCCTAGGAGGGGGGTGGGCTAAAGAAGACCGGCGCCTAGGGCCCCCACACATATTCCCGGCACCCTGGTTTGCTCCAGGCCGTCTGAGGAGGGGTGCGTCCCCACTCACCGGCTCCAGTGGCGCCGCTGTCCGCGGGCGCCCAGCACAGCGCGAGCAACAGCCAGAGCGCCCAGCGCGCGGACGTGCCCATGGTGCCCGCCTGGATGGTGCCGCCGCCGTCGCCGTTCGCTCCGCACAACAAGTTACCAGCCCTTCGGAAAGGAGGAAGGAGGTGGGGGCGGGGAGGGGGAAAGGGAAGAGGAGGGGGAAGGAGTTAGAGGGGGGGAAAGGGAGTGGGGGAGAAGAGGGCACCCCCTCCCCTACAACTTGCACAATCTCCTCCCCACCAGCCAGCCCGCCCACCCACCCACCTCCCCGGGCTGCAGCAGCGGTGCAAGCCGAGGCTGCGGGCGGAAAATAATGCAGGCGCTGCAGAAGAGGGGAGGGAAGGGGAGGGGAGGGAGGGTACAGGAGAAGGGGGGAGGGAGAGGGGGTGGGGAGCCGAGAGCAAAGGAGAAGACACCAGAGAGGAGCCAGCCGCGGAGCACCCACACTGGCAGCGGCTGGAGCGCGGGGTGAGGAGCCGGGAGGGGGCAGGAGGGGGAGTGGTCAGCGGGGGGGCGGTGGCTGGAGCCCTCCTCCACGCGCTGCTCTCACACGCGCCAAGCAGCTGGGTGCCTGCGCCGGGGGTGTGCGAGTGTGTGTGCAAGTGTGAGCGTGCTTGCGTGAGTGGCAGTGGCCGCGGCTGCCGCCGCCATCCGGACTGCTCCAGGGGCCCGGCGCGTCCGCCCGGGGCTCACGGGGGGCCGGGGCGGCCGCTGGTTGGCTCGCGCACCGCCCTCGCCTCCAATCCCGGGTGTCTGTCCTAATTTCCTGATCCAGGGAACCTGCCGCCGCAGCAGCTGTGCGCTCCCTACAGTCATTACTGTACCCTCCGGCAGCCGCCAACAGTAAATGCAGCAGCGGCAGCAGTTAGCGCTGATGCAACTATTGCTGCTATTGCCACCGCCTCCCCAATAACGGGGCTTGCAGGGAGGGGGCTGGGGGTGGGGGGACGAGTTGCACCTTCTAGAGGCAGCAAGCATCTCTCTCTACCACCCTCTGTACCAGAGGCTGGTTTGGGGCCGGTAGGTAGCATCTTCTCGGGCCTCCTTTCTCCAACTAGAAAGTGACAAAGAGAAAGGGTTCCAAACGTTTGTGCTGCTCTGATGTGGGGTTCGGGATACCTACCAATCGCACGCTGAGATGCCATTTTGCTAAAAATTAAATGTGTCTTTAAGTGAGAGAAAGAGAGAGCGAGAGAGCGCCCGGTTGTGGCATGTTCTCTGTAATAGAACAAGACTAAAATAACCCAGTCTGGGATGGGGAGGAGGGAAATTGCTAGCGCAGCTCTGCATTCTCTCATCAACCATTATAGTTAATTGCTAATTGCACAAAATGATAGTTTGAGGGCCTGTAATTAAAAGCTTAACCTTTCTGGTTTGGGGGAGGGGGACCCCAGTAGATTTTTTTTCTTGATACACTTTGTAACATTCAATTACAAGGCTTAAGGGAAGAAAAACGGAAGCAAAAGCAACACTCCTAGAAGGACTGATCTTTATTTTGTGCCAAACAGTTCCTGAGCCTATAATTTGCTTTTTGTGCACTTCAGTTTTCTTGCACACTTTATTTCCCCTGGTTGAGGTGCGTTGTCTGTTGTGGCCCATTGAACAGCTAACAAGAGTGGGAGTTATTGCACCTTCAGTGAAGAGTTTTTATACTTTTTTAAAAAAGTTGTTTTTACCTTGAATGACTCAAACTTGGCAGATTTCAATAATATCATGTCCTGGCTCTATTTGGTTGCTGATCCTAGGAGTAGAGGGCACTACCTAGCTGTATTCTCCTTGCCCTGGTTCTCCTGGGCATTTGTCAAAGCTAGTCAGCAGAAGGGATGTTTATTTGGGAATTTACCATCCCTAGGAGACAGAGAGATGAGGAAAATTCTGAGTCAGGATACATTTTGGTTTATCCGGGGTTTATCCAGATTGTGACTGAAAAACATGAAGTGGCTTTATTTGATGTATAGATGAAGACTTGTACTCCAGCTCATTGTGAATGCTACTTTGCTCACTCTGTGGTTACATGATCAATATAAACTGCAGGAGCCACACACATGTTGCATGTGAAACAAATTAAATTTGTGCCATTTGGTAGTGCAGATGCATGCTAGTGCTGTCCACCTCACAGGCACTGAGGTGAATGGTCATACCTTAGGTGCATGATGTGTTCAGTTTTCTTGGGGTTGGGAAAAGGCCATTTCCACTTTACTAAGGACAAAAGGGAGTAGAGGACATGGATGGAATCAACATGAAAAGGCACAGCATTAATAAAGAAATGATGTAGTTGTTTTTAACATTTTATTCAGTGCGAAATGTACACTACAAGCTAAACATTGATATAGTACAATAAGACTTATCTTTGACAAACATGTATTATACTTTCTAGCATAAAATAAACTGTTGGCAAACTTAGCTATAGCTCTGTGTTCAATCCTGTATCTTTTTGTTGAATCAAAGGTAAGTATAAACTCTCTGATTGGATGTGTATCTTGGAAAAAATCACTGGGTTTCTTTGTGCCTGCCTCTGTCCTATAAACTGAGAAAAAAAAATCAACCCACATAATATCAGAGTGTTCTGTGGTTTCAAAAACCAGCTCTTTGCAAAGAGTAGATGAGACAGGAGAAAGAATGTATTAATTGGTATAGAAAGTAACTAGTAGTAAAATAATGAATCAATCGTGAGTGGAGGTTGATGTGGATGAACTTAGTTAGCTTAGAGAAGTTGATACTGCTGGCTTCTAGAAGTGTTCCAGTAAATGCATAGGTAATCCCATTCTCTCCCACAATTCACCACATTCATTGATTTGTTTAAGTAACATACACTGTTAGGTAGGTTATTTTCAAGGTCTTGGGCATATGGAGGTGGTTATCTGAGCGGCCTGAGAATCTGGTGGGAGAGACAAACAAGTAGGCAACTGCAGTGCCCCATTACTGAATGATAAGGCAGAGATTGCTCAAGGGGCTACAAAATTGATTACAAAGAAAGAGCAGCTAATCTGGCTTCAGTATGAGGGTACCAGAAAAGGTTTTACAGAGATCTGTTGCAGAGCTGAGCATACTCATGATTTTTACCAAGTAATTTAAATTCTCCCTCCTTCTGGGCACATGATTGGATTGTAATACCTAGCCCCCTGATGGTTGGGTTGTTTTAAAGACTAACTTCAGCTAATTTGTGAGCAAAAGTTATAGATGCCTCTTCCAGACAGGCATTTACTCCTTGTGTGAGACTCTTTTTATCTGTACAGTGACAAAAAAACAAAAACAAAAACAAAAACACATTCCAAAGGTGCTGTTTCATTAGCCCAGGTCTCTGAGTGACTCAGAACTACTCATCTAAGTAGCTCCCAGCTGCCTATATGTCTCTGGAAATGACTACATACATTAGGGGTCAGCAAACTAGAACTCATGGACTAAGTCTAGCAAGTGATTGATTTTATATGACCTATGAATAAGAATGCTTTTTTAAAAATATTTTTAAAGATTTACAAAAAAGATGGAAGAAATAAAAGAAAAAAGAGAAAAAGCAGCAGCAGCAACAGAAACTATATATTGCTTATCAAGCCTAAACTATTTATCACCTGTCTTTATAGGTGATATAGAGTGAATGAGAGATAAACCTTGACATAGAGTGAATGAAAGATAAATTTTGGCTTCTTCATCTCTTGATATTTTGTTACATCAGCATAACCTAGCATTTACCTCTCTGAACACTTGGGAAGAAGGAAAGAGAGACCTGATGAGCAGAGGGAATTAAAGCACAAGAGCAGCATGTATTCAAGGCAGTGTAAGAGACTCTCAGGATGGGTAGACTCAATTGGACTAATGATGGGAAGTAAGGCAGAAGAAAAGGAAGGACAGGATTAGGTTGAGCCTAGTATGATACACAGAGACTTTAGATTTTATCTATTGAAGCATGGCAAGGCCTTGTTACAGATTTTGATCATAGGTCTCATGTCCAGTTTTGTTAGTTTTTTTAAGAAAGATTACTTTGTCAGTGATATGAGAGGCGGCTTCTTTGGGGGGTAGAGTAGACTAAGACTAGAGGAAGAGAAATTAGTTAGAGGCACCAGTAGTGAGAGAGTAGGTTAAAGAAAGGAGAAAAAGAACCTACTGTTCTTGGTACAGATTCCCAGGCCCTTCCTTGACCCTGAATCAGTAGGTCTAGGGTGGGGCCACAGGATCTGTATAGGTAACTTTATTACAGTTGATTCTTAGGATTAGTCATGATTAAGAAACTATTTTAGAGGATAATTTCTTCAGTTTTAAATCCCACATGGCTTTACTTCTTTCAAATACTTGAAACATTATTTCTCCAAATTCTCTGAAAGGAGTAGGTTAGGGCCCACAGAAAAATGCTAAGATTGATGCTTGTCATTTCCTTTTCTTCAAAGCCCTTAGCCTCATAAACACAGGCCTCAGAAGTCATCTTCAAACTAATCTGCTAATTTATAGCACTGATTTCTGCAACCCCAGCATTGGAAGTAAGAAGTGAAAAAGAGCTATCCTACCTTGGGAAGTTTTTTGTTGTTGTTGTTTTGTGGTTTTTTTTTTTTTTTTTTTTTCAAAATAAACCTCTTTTTTTTTTATTAGTCTATTGTAGAATACTGGGGTTCATTTTGACATAATTATATGAACATGGAATATAATTTGCTCCAATTCAGTCCCTAATATTTCTTGGGAAGAATTTTGATAGTGACTTCCCAAGTCTCCATTTCAGCATTTTCTAATTGTGTGACAGCCCAGTGAAATGCGTAGAATTTTATTCTTCTCTCTGGGATCCACAGGTGGATGATCTGATGGCCAAGGTTTATTTAAACATGGATTGCTAAATTCCATTCCCCGAGTTTAGGATTGAATAGGTCTGGAGAGGGGGCCAAAAATAGATTTTTTTTCTAACACATTCCTGTGGAATGCTGGTGCCAGGGAAGACACTTTGGGAACCACTATTCCCAATCTATATGTATAACTTCCTTCCTCAATCACTGTGATTGGTCAGGGCCTCAACCAGTCAACCTGTGGCTTTCTCTGTCCACAATGATTGGATACTTAAACTCTAAATACATCACCCAAGTGGCTTCATTTGTGGTGAAGCTTAGGACTTTTTCTAGGGACTTTTAATTGGTTAGAAAGGTATTTATGTGGGCATAAGGCCAGATCTGCTGGCCATTTTACCATTGTACCCCCCAGGAAGGAAGTCAATTTGAAGATGAAACTGACTTTTGGAGAAGAGGAATATGAGAGAATCAGAAACAGCATCCAAACTGTAATCCTGGGCCCAGGTCAGCTTGTTTTGAAAGTGATGTTCCATGGGACTTCTCACCTGAGCCAATAGATTACCTTTGTTGTTTAGTCAATTTAGATCAAGCTCTTACTTGCACTAAACTGATGAAGATGCTCTCTCAAGGGTGACTTGTGGTGCTACCATAAGGCAATGGGCAAAACTCCACATGTGGCCACCCAATGGTATTGATGGGCAA